CCAATATTACATCCAGTACTCCATACATCCACACCCCCCACACATCCACACACATCCACACAACATCCACAACCTCCACACATCCACACAGCATCCACACCTACACATCCACACATCATCCACACCTCCACATCCACAAGACATCATCCACACCCCACACTTCCACACAGCATCCACACCTCCACACATCCACACAGCATCCACACCTCTACACATCCACACAGCATCCACACTTCCACACATCCACATTACATCCACACCTCCACACACCTGCCACACTCATCCACACCTCCACACATCCATTGTTGGCATCCACACCTCCCACACATCCACAGATGCCATCATCCACAATTTCCACACTTCCACACAAAGACCACACATCCACACTTCCACACAGCATCCACACCCCTCCACACATCCACAGCATCCACACCTACACAGCATCCAAGAATTCTCAAGTACACTCCACACACACAGCATCCACACCCCACACAGCATCCACAACTTCCACACATCCACACAGCATCCAAGTACCTCCACACTTCCACACAGCATCCACACCCCTACACCTCCATACACATCCACACACCTCCACATCCACACAACATCCACACCTCTATACATCCACACAGCATCCACACTCATTAACACATCCACATCCACACCTCCACACATCCACACAACATCCACACCTCTACACATCCACACAGCATCCAATTTCACACATCCACACAGCATCCACACATCCAACACACATCATCCACACCCTCCACACATCCAATGCATCCACACTCCACACATCCACACAGCATCCACACATCCACATCCACAGCATCCAATTTCCACACATCCACACAGATCCACACTCCACACATCCACACAGACCACACCCCACACATCCACACATCATCCACACCTCCACACATCCACACATCCACACAGCATCCTTACACCTCCACATCCACATCATCCACACCTCCATGGCATCCACACATCCAAGGCATCCACCCCACACATCCACACAGCACCACACCTGTTAATGATCCATGCTGCATCCAGCACCCCCCCAGCACTTCCACACAGAATTCACTTTGTGTTGTGGACCCACCTCCATAGATCCACATGGCATCCAGCACCCCTTCTATATACATGGCCAATGACAAACCATAGATCTTTGTCTCAATCGTGGGGAGGGCACTGGTGGAACTGGGCAAGGTGGGTTGATTCCTGCTCATGAACACAATTGGGTGGCCAGTGTGCCTGGGGAACATTAGCCTCACAGACAGGGCCTCACGCCTCCCGTGAGCAGCAGAGCCCAGGTAGCCATCACACAACAGGACAGGCTAGGCCCTGTCTCCCCACACACACAGCTACACACACAGCCTCCGCCACCAGACACATGCAGACAGCCCAGCCTCAACACAGCCCCGCCTCCACACCATCTCCATCAACATGCTTGAAAGCCCAACAATGGACAGGCACACACAGCCAGCCCTGCCTACAGCTGAAACACAGCCTCATTTCACACACACACACGGCTGTTCACTCTCCTCATACACACACAGCCCGCCTCACACACACAGCCCACCTCCATGACACACACACAGCCCTGGGCTTCCTCACACACAATACACAGCCCCGCCTCCTCATACACAACCCAGGCTTCCACACACACACACAGCCCACCTCCAAGGCTGGGCCACACACAGCCCACCTCCCCCACACATACAAAGCACATAACCCTGCCTCCACACACACACAGCCCACATCCTTGCCACATAACACACACAGCCCCGCCCCCACACACACACAAAGCCCCACCTCCACACACACACACACACACACAGCCCTGCCTCCACACACATACACACACACACAGCCCCGTCACACACACACACAAAGCCCCACCTCCACACACACACACACACACACACAAGTCATACGGTCACCACACACATCAAATTCTGCTTCCACACACACATACACACACACACACAGCCCCTGCTTGGGCCTACACACACACACAGCCCTGCCTACACACACACACACACACACAGCCCTGCCTACACACACACACACACACACACAGCCCCACTGTCACACACACAGAGCCCCGTTGCCCCCCCAACGCAAACAGCCCCTCCTCCACACACACACATACACACACAGACACACAGCCCCACCACCACACAAACAGCCCCGCCGCCACACACACACACAGCCCCACCACCACACACACATGCGCACGCACACACAGCCCCACTGCCACACACACACACATCTACCTTGCTGCCAGGACTCTTGCAAAGACAGCCTTCACCAACCACCAGGCTGCAGTTGGCCCTTCCCCAGGGGCTGCACTCTAGCCTCATGGAAAAGTTCCTTGAGCTCCCTGTGCTTCAGCTTCTGTCTGTAAAACAGGGGGAGTGCAAACCTACCCACCTCGCCAGTGGCCCTGAGCCCAAATTTCGAGTCCTAACTAAGCACACAGCCTGGCCGAGGGTCGCTGCTCTGGAAATGCTGGTTTCCCTGCGCTGGCCTTCTCACTAGGTGGTCCTGTGAAAGCAGCTCCCAAGAAGAGGAGGGCGGCTGGGGACCAGGGGGGACCAGAGGGCAGCTAGCTGGCCTCAGCGGGCACCCCCATGCCGGTGCAGTCTTTCTCATTACCCCCTCCACGGCACGTGGGGCCTGGCCCAGACCACTCCACAGTGGGGCACCCTGCCTGGGCCTCAGGGGAGGTGAGACACCCCCCAGTACCCTCTGTTCTTGAGACAAGCTGCTGTTCAGCTGTAGTGAGGGCAGCACACCCAATGATTACACACACAGGTCTGGAGTCACAGCCGGGTCCAGATCCTAATACTGCCATCACCATTGCAGCCTTTTTCTTAACCCCCCTGTTCTTAAAGTGGCTCTGCAGCTGGGGTTACCTCGCAGCGGGGCTGAGAACTGAGGTGAGGGAGGCTTCGCTACCATCTGGCACGGGGTGCCTACCTGGACGCTGGCTACTGTTGTCGGCTCTGTGAACAGGCACACAGGGTTTCCTCCGGGTGCGGGATGGCGCTGGCCGAGATGGGGGATGGGGACGCTGGAGCAGTGGGAGGTGTCCCCTTCCTATCTCCAGTCCTGAGTCTGGGCAGCTATTAGCAGAAGCTTGTTAATGAAAATTCACACCTAGGTGCTAATAAACAGTGGGCCACTCCCAGGCTCAGAGCCGGAGAAGAAGCCCTCTGCAGGGAAGGGGGCTGGCCAATGAGCCCCACTTATCTGTGAAAAGACTTGCTAATAACTTTAATTCCCCATTCTAAAACGCAGGGCCTTTGCCATGCAAATAGATCTTCTAAGCTGGGTCGGCTCCAGAAAACTTCCCGCTTTACCCCAGTTAGGGTCCTGGGAGGGGAGTGAGAGATGGGACAGAGGAGCAGGAAAGGGGGTGACCCGCGGAGGTGTGAGGTCCCACCCCGCTGCAGGCATGACTTTTGGAGCGCATTCTCTGTGGCCAAGCGCCAGCCCGGGTGTGCCCTGCCTGGCCTAGACGCCTGAACTGCAGATCAAGGGACTCCATCCCACTCTGCATTACAGCCCCTCCTGCGGGGGCTAGAGTACTGGAAGGGATCTCTGAAGCAGTTGAAAAGCAAACCCAGCAGCATCAGCGGATGAACGGATAAACCAACTGTGGTGTAGCTGAACAATGGAAGATTATTGGGCAGTAAAAAGAAATGAAGTTCTGACACAGGAGGCAGCATGATGAGCCTTAAAAACACTGTGCTCAGTGAAAGAAGGCAGACACAAAAGGCCATATTTTGTGATTCCTTTTACATGAAATATCCTGAAAAAACAAACCTATGGAGACAGAGACTAGATGAGTGAGTGCCAGGGGCTGGGAGTAGAGGAATAATGGGGAGTGATGTTAACAGGTACACGTTTTCTTTTGGGGGGTGAAAATGTTCTAAAATTAGTGGCAATGGTTGCAGAACTCTGTGGATGTACTAAAGCCATTCAATTGTTAAAAGAGTGAATTTTATGGTATGTGAATTATATCTTAATAAAGTTTTTATAAAAACAGACACTAAGGCCCGTGTTTCAGACACTTGAAGGAGAAAAGGGGAGAACTAGGTATCTATCCATAGAGGGTAAAGGACACTTGGCAGAGAGCCTATACATCCCTTCTCCCCACCCCACCCTCCAAGGATGACTGTTCCCTAGACACCCTGGCTGGATGAGGACATACTTTCTGGGCTCAAGGCTCCTGTCTCTTGCTCCCTGATGTGACTCCAGCCAATGCAGACAGGAGTGCAACTGCCTGTGTGGATTCTGATGCAACCCCATGGGCGATCATCTCACCCCAGCTAGGCCTCTATGAGGTCATGGTTATATAAACTCAGGACCGCCACACTGTTATTTATATCTCTAAGCCACAAAGTGAGGAAACCAGAGAAAAGGGAGATGGGAAAATGTCGGAGTAGGGGGTGGGAGGTCCAAGGCCAGGGTGCTCCAGTCTATGGAGAATAAGGCCCCAGGACACAAGAATATGACCTCTTGTAGCTGTTATCCCTCAGGCCCCAACATGCATGAAGCTGGCAAAATCCTCCAAGAGCTGAGCGCTGGGACTCTGGAGGCCTACTGGGGCTTGAGTGCTGATCCTCATCCTTCTGTAAAATGGTTACTTGAATATAATAGGTACCTGATATACATACAACAAATACTCAATAATGGAGTTGTATTTCTACACAGATATTTTGGTTTTAACCAGTTCCCCACCAGGTTCAAAGAAAAGATCAGCAGATTCTACTTGCCGCTGCCTTCTCAAAGGACGCCCCTCCCCACCCCTTCCAGGCTGACCCATCTGGACTAGATGTTGAGCCAGGGCTGGGGGTAAGGTCAAAGGGGGTTGGGCCTGTGGGGGTGGGAGGGCTAAAGATTGCAAGAACCCCTCCCACCTCTCCCATGCTCTTCTTTAGAGGGAGAGAGGGAGTTTTGTGTCCACAGGTAGGAAGAAGAAATTGCCAACTGACACCAGCAGTTTATTCACAAATAAATAAATTCACATTAGGCAGAGCCTCCTGCTTGCTTCAAAGTATCTAACCCTATGGGTCCCTCCATAGAGGGGGGGTGCTAAGAAGGGCCGCTGTGGTGGGCAAGGCTCTCACCCGCAGGAATGCCCCTGCCGGGATCGCCGCTGCCCTCTTCCAGGAAAGGCAGTCTGCTAAGGAACCACTTCGAAGGGGCTGAGGCCAAAAGAGCCTCGGTGCTCATAGAGACGGCGTCAGTTGTCCGCTGTCACTTGGGCTCCTCAGGCAGCCACTCCAGAGGCGAGAGGGGCATCCAGGTCTCCAGCAGGGCCAGCACGTCGCCGGGAAGGAGCTGTAGCGAGAGAAGGAACAGGGCAGCCCTCAGCACTGGTGACCTTGTGCGGGTGTCCGCATTCGTGGGCTCCAACCTCAGGGGGCCCCTAGCGAGGGGAGACCCAGTCCCCTGCGTGGCCTTTCCCTGCCCTCGCCTCTTGGCGCCCTGGGCATACTATGGAGGCCAGGCTGCTGGCGGGGAGCGGCAGGGTGCCTGGTCCTCGCCGTGGGGGGCGGTGGGGCTGTGCGCGGGGGCACGGCCGAAGGGGGAGCAGGGAAGGGGGCACTAACCGGGGACGGTGGGCTCGGCTCCATCACCTGCCCTTCCGAGCACGCTGCCTCGGCGAAGAGCGCAGGCAGGTCGCGCGGCTCGGGCACATCTCGGGCTCCGGGGCAAGCAGGCAGGGACCCCCAGGACGCCCCGGCGCGGACGGCGGAGACCAGACCCAGCCTGCGCCCCTGCCCCTGCCGCTGCCCCTCCGCCTGCGTCCGTGTCTGCGTCTGCGCGGGGCAGCCGTCGGGGCACAGTGGGCAGCCCCGAGGGGACCCTGCGTCCCCGCGCTGGCGGCGCCGGCGCTGGCGCTGGAGACTCTCCTCGCTGAGGCCCAGCACGGCCGACAGGTGGCCGATGTAGCGGATGGCCAGGCGCAGCGTCTCGATCTTGGTTAGGCTCTGGCCGGCCGGCGCCACGGACGGCGGTAGAAAGCGGCGCAGCTCGTGCAGGGCGCGGGCCAGCGTGCGCATGCGCAGTTTCTCCCGCTCACTGGCGCTCTGCCTCTGCCCGATGCCCAGGCGGCTGCTGCGCGCGCCGCGCTTCCCTACGGTGGGGGCGCGGGGATCCAGGCGGGCGCTGGGACGCGCGGCGCTCGGCACGGGGCTGTCGGCTGGGGTGCTGCCGCATGAGTCTGGGGACGAGACGAGGGAGCGGCCGCAGTCCCTGTCGGAGGGCGGCGGCCGCCGAGTTGGGCCCCAGGCCGCGGAGAGCATCCAGGACTCGGAGAGCGGTGGGCACAGGGGCTGGGCCATGGCAGCGGCGGCGCGTCTGGGGGCCGGCGACCGGCGGCCGTTTTATGCCGAGCCCGAGGTGTGAAGTGGCGCCTTCCAGGCCGCATCAGCACATCAAAGTGGGCTCGGGGCTTCGAGGGGGTGGAGCCCGACCCTTTGAATCCCCGGCGGGGGGCGAAGGTGCCAGCCCCTTGGCTGCGCCTGTTTCGCCCCGCCTGGGCCCTCACTTGGGCGCCCGACCCAGCCTCTCGGACTTCCCGCGTGCGCCCAGTGTTGGGTGAAGCCCGGGGCGTTGGGCCAGCCCTACAGGTTAAAGGAAGCTGGGTCAGAAAAACGAAGTCTAGAGCCTAGGTTTGGGGCCTGTCTTTACCTGTTGGGGATCTTATGCAAATTCTTAGTTCTTTTACACCTTAGCTTCCAATCTGTATAATGGAAGCCTCAGGGCATACGCCAACTGGACAATGGAGTAGAGTAAGGACCAGGAGCAGGGGCCCTCATTCCCTCTAAAGGTGGGGAAAGCAGTAAACCACTTCTCCTTTGAGGCAGGATGGCCCTGGGTAGACCCTTCCCTGTTGAGGACGTGTGGACATGCAAGGAAGCTTGCACCCTGGCAAATCCAGTCTGGTCAGGTTGCTGGACCTTCTGAGCAGAGGGAGGGGGCAAGCCTGCTCCTCCAACCCCAGGACACCTCTAGCCTGGCAGGGTCTGGGGCTCGGCCTGTTGCCACAGCTGTCACCACTGGACTCTACCTGATGTTCTGCAGCTTTTGGACAGGTATAACAGGTTTTCCCAATGAAATGTGAGTGGAAATGATGCAGCAAAGGCATTTGACAAAACCCAACACTCCTCGTGATAAAAATTCTCAGCAAACTAAGAATAGAAAGGAATTTCAGGCCGGGCGCGGTGGCTCAAGCCTGTAATCCCAGCACTTCGGGAAGCCGAGACGGGTGGATCACGAGGTCAGGAGATCGAGACCATCCTGGCTAACACTGTGAAACCCCGTCTCTACTAAAAAATACAAAAAACTAGCCAGGCGAGTTGGCGGGCGCCTGTAGTCCCAGCTACTCGGGAGGCTGAGGCAGGAGAATGGCGTGAACCCGGGAGGCGGAGCTTGCAGTGAGCCGAGATCCGGCCACTGCACACTCCAGCCCGGGCGACAGAGCGAGACTCCGTCTCAAAAGAAAAAAAGAAAAGAAAAGAATTTCATCAACCTGATGAAAGGCTTCTACAAAGAACCTACAGGTAGCCTCATACTGAGTGGTGAAAGACTGAAAGCTTCCCCCACATCCCTCGATTTCAGGAACAAATCGAGAGGTGTCTCTCTTACCACTCCTATTCAACATTGTACCAGATGGAAGATCTAGGCTGTGCAATTAGGCAACAAATAAAAGACATACAGGTCAGAAAGGAAGAAATAAACCTCTTCACAGGTTATGGCAGCTCTGGGCCCTGCTGCGCATGAGCCTGATCAATTTAAAGCCGAATCCTGGCTCCAGGAAACCCATGAGACTACCAAAAGGTCGGAGAAGAGGTAGAAAATGTGGCAGAGGCCATAGAAGAGAAAGGCAAAGAGGAAACTGACTCTGCTGGGCTTTGAGGATGGCCAGACTCTATTTTACATCAGAATCCCAAAATACAGATTTAATGAAGGAACTAGCTTCAGGCACCAGTATCATCCTTTAAGTATCAATAGACTGCAGTATCTTACTGATTTGGGTCCTGTTGATCCTACTCATCCTATTGACTTAAAGCAGCTTGTCAATGGAAGAGGTGTGACCATTCAGCCACTTAAAGAGGATTATGGTGTTCAGCTGGTCGAAAAGGCTGCTGACACCTTTCAGGTGAAAGTTAATATTGGGCCGGGCGTGGTGGCTCATGCCTGTAATCCCAGCACTTTGGGAGGCCGAGGTGGGCGGATCATGAGGTCAGGAGATTGAGACCATCCTGGCCAACATGGTGAAACCCCGTCTCTACTAAAAATACAAAAATTAGCTGGACATGGTGGCACGCGCCTGTAGTCCCAGCTACTCGGGAGGCTGAGGCAGGAGAATCACTTGAACCCGGGAGGTGGAGGTTGCAGTGAGCTGAGATTATGCCACTGCATTCCAGCCTGGTGACAGAGTAAGACTCTGTCTCAAAAAAAAAAAAAAAAAAAAAAAAGTTAATATTGAAGTACAGTTGGCTTCAGAACTAGCTATTGCTGCAATTGGAAAAAAAAATGGTGGTGGTGTCACTACAGCCTTCTATGATCCAAGAAGTCTGGAAATTCTATCCAAATCTGTTCCATTCTTTTTGGGAACAACCCATTCCAAAAAGAATGCTTCCATCTGAAGCACTGGTACCATATTCCACCAATGGAAAGAATCATGGGAACCTGGCAGATCCTGCCAAATTTCCTGAAGCACAACTTGAGCTTGCCAGGAAGGACAGTTCTAATTTACTGGATATCACGAAAGAAGAACTCTTCAAATGTTCAGTACTCAGAAGGATCCAAGGCAGATTTTCTTTGGGTTTGCTCCAGGATGAATGCTGAATATGGTAGATAAGAAAATCCTAAAATCTACAGATGAAAATCTCCTCAAGTACTAGAGCTCATGAATTCCCATCCAAGAAAGCAGAGTTGTTAATACTAGAAAAGGGCCAGGCACAGTGGCTCATGCCTGTTATCTCAGCACTTTGGGAGGCTGAGGCGGGCAGATCACGAGGTCAGGAGTTTGAGACCAGCCTGGCCAACATGGAGAAACCCCATCTCTACTAAAAATACAAAAATTAGCGGGGCATGGTGGCAGACACCTGCAATTCCAGCTGCTCAGGAGGCTGAGCTGAGGCAGGATAATCGCTTGAACCCAGGAAGTGGAAGTTACAGTGAGCCAAGATCGCGCCATTGCACACCAGCCTGGGTGAAATTTCACCTGGCCCCTCAGGGGTTTGAGCTGGCACCCTGGTCTTAATAGGTACTTCATGCATGGCTATCTGCTCTCCAGCCAGACTGTGAAGTACCTGGTGTCTGGCATCATATCTTTACGTGTTTTCAAGTGGAATGGTTTCTTTCAGTGCCAGACGTCTGATTTTTATTTTTATTTTTTTGAGACAGGGCCTGGCTCTGTCGCTCAGGCTGGAGTGCTGTGGCACTATCTCGGCTCACTGCAACCTCCACCTCCTGGCTACATTGAAAGACGAAGAATTTTCTTGAATCACATATAAAATATGGTAATTCGGCTGGGCGCGGTGGGATCATGCCTGTAATCCCAGCACTTTGGGAGGGCAAGGCAGGGGGATCGCTTGAGGTCAGGAGTTTGAAACCAGCCTGGCCAATATGATGAAACCCTGTCTCTACAAAAATACAAACAATTAGCCTGGTGTGGTGGCCCACGCCTGTAGTCCCAGCTCTTGGGAGGCTGAGGCAGGAGAATCGCTTGAACCCTGGAAGTAGAGGTTGTAATGAGCTGAGATCGTGCCACTGCACTCCAGCCTGGTGACAGAGCAAGATTCTATCTAACAGCAACAACAACAAAAATACACTAACGAAAGCTGCTGCACTAAAAAAATTGCAAAAAAAAAAAAAAAAAAATCTCATAATGTTTTAAGAAGTTTATGGATTTGTGTTGGGCCTCATTCAAAGCCGTCCTGGGCCGCAGGTGGGACAAGCTTGGTGTACACCAAACCACTCATCGTCTCCTCCCTCCTCCACCTCCTTTCCTCCCTACCCCTCCATTTACCTCTCACCCATCTTCTTTGCTTAACTTTCCTGGTTCTCAGCAATACCAGCTTTCTTCATGGTATGAAATTGCAGGGATGCCCACTTCACCTTCTCCTTCCAAGCAGTCACCAGATGACATCCCTTCTTTCTGTATTTTCTTCAGGTGCACCTCTTACTTTGCTTTTCTTTCTTTTTCTTTTATTTCCATTACCTAAATCCAGTGTTTCCCCCAACTTCCTTCACCCAGTCTAATCTTCTGTAGGAAATATTTCTTCCATCTTCCCTTCAATCTACATTCTTTCCTCTGGCCTCCAAGGATCTCTGGAATGTGGATCCTCTCAGCCCTCAGGCTGTCTCTGCTCTGGGACACAGACCCCTTGGCCCATGAGACTTGTCTTCCTCTGTTTTCCACACACACCACACCAAGTCCCACCTCTCTGCCTTTGCCCACGCCACTGCCCCACCCTGTAGTGCCCTCATTCCTACTTAGCAAGCTTTCTAAACATCAAGACCTAGCTCAACTTTTTTAATTTTTTATGTTTGTTTGTTTGTTTGTTTGTTTATGTTGACAGCCTCGCTCTGTCACCCAGGCTGGAATGCAGTGGCGCCATCTCGACTCACTGCAACCTCCACCTCCCGGGTTCAAGTGATTCTCTTGCCTCAGCCTGCCAAGTAGCTGGGACTGCAGGTGTGTGCCAGCACGCCCAGCTAATTTTTGTGTTTTTAGTAAAGACGGGGTTTCTCCATGTTGGCCAGGCTAGTCTCGAAGTCCTGACTTCAAGATATCCTCCCACCTGGGCCTTCCAAAGTGCTGGGATTACAGGCATGAGCCAGCGTGCCCAGCCCCAGCCCAACTTTTACCTTTGATGAAACTTTCTCTGAACTTTGGTATGTTTTCCATACTATTTGTCTTCTTGTTCATGCTCTCATGTTTTACATCCTAATTGTTTCTAGTAGATTGTAAACTCCTTTGGAATAATGTCAGTATGTAATACTTAGTTACTTATCCAAGCAGTACAGGACACTCAGAGTTGATTTGCTGGTGTGGAATAGATATGTGTCCCAATTTGTGTTTGTTTGTTTTCTTTCTTTTTTTGACACAGAGAGTTTTGCCCTGTTGCTCAGGCTGGAGCGCAGTGGTGTGATCTAGGATCACTGCAGCTTCTGCCTCCCAGGCTCAAGCGATCCTCCCACCTCAGCCTCCTGAATAGCTGGGACCACAGGCGCATGCCACCATGCCTGACTAATCTTGGTGTTTTTTGTAGATATGGGGTTTCACCATGTTGGCCAGGCTGGCCTTGAACTCCTGACCTCAAGTGATCCACCCGCCTCAGCCTCCCAAAGTCCTGGGATTTCAGTTTGGCTGGTCTGATGTTTGGCATTCCCCCATAGCTTCCAGCCCAGTGAGCCCAATGGGTGAGCTGGTTTGTAGCAATGATGGCCCATGACATGGTACCTTCTCCCTGGGCATGTCTCCCCCCCTCCTTCCTGGATCTCTTCTGTCTCCTGCTGCTCTTGGCCTCCTCTGACACCTTCTGTGCCTCCTCCTCTACTGTCTGTCCCAGCAGCCCC